TTTTATAATTTTAAATTTATTAATTTATATATATATTAATTATTTATTAATTTATTTTTTATTTTTTTAAAATATAATTATTTTTTATATTTTTATATATATTCAAAATTTTTATTTATATCAAAATTTATTAAGTATTTATAGAAAAAAAAATTATATTAAATTTATTTATTTTTAATTTTAAATATTGAGCTTAATTATATAACTGCTTTATTGTAATAAAATATATTTAAAAATCCTCTTAACAATATTTATGTATATTAATAAAAAAAAAAAAAAAAATTTAAAAAAAAATTAAAAAAAAATTTTAAAAAAAAAAAAAAAGGGGGAAACAATAACACATTAATTCACTGGAATGTACAGAGTAAATCGACAAAAAAATCATTCGAGATTGCAATTTCAGTACTAAATCTTAACACTACCCACATAGATATTATGACAGAAACAAATTTAGAAAAAGAGAAAGAAAAGAATATCTTAGGAAACAGAAATAACCATTCAGCACCAGCAGAGGGAAGGGGATCAGGTATATTACAAATAAACAACAACAAACAAATAAAAATATAACCAATCAAAAGCAAAGAAGGAAGATTACTCATCACCCAAATACAAATTAATCAAACAACAGTAAAAATAGCAACAGAATATTCACCAGCATCAGGAGGGTACAAAAAAAAGATCGTACATCAAAAGAAACCTTAAATACAATGATCTAATAGACATGGACATCCTGGTGGGGGACTTTAATATAAACAAAGAATCAAGAATTTGGTGACAACAATTGAAAATGCAGGTCTAACAGAAATCCCCAACTCAAGTTACTGGGATTAGAATTGTCTCCAGGTTGTTTCTTGAGCTTTTTTTAAAATAATTGATGTTTATAATTATTTACATGTTGATAAAATAATAAAGAAAAAAAAAAAAAAAAAAAAAAAAATTTCTTTAAAAAATTAAAAAAAAAATAATATTAAAATTAATCATTGAGTTTTAGAAATTTCACAATGGTTTTTTAAGTTATATGGAATCATACTACTATTAAAACTATATTTTTAAAATTGGTCTTTTTAATTGGTCTCTTTGAAGAAACCAATAATAAGAAATGATAGATTACTTTTTTATTTTTATTATTTTTAAATGTTCAAAATTAAGGGCTTTTAAAATAAAAAATAAAAAAAATAATTAAATACCAATATATAACAAAAATCATAATGAAAATTCTTTTAATAAAAAAAATTAATAAATTGACTAATAATAAATTATAATATAATATTTTTTTAAAAAAATGACAAATTAAATACAATCAGAAATACTCAAAAAAAAAAGTTAATTATTATTATAATTTAAATAGAAGTGTAGAAAAAAATAATTTAAAAACTATATTAATTTTTCTAGGTTAAAATAACTATTGTTTTTTTTTTCATTCTCATGAAGTTCCTGATTTTTTATAATCATAATTTTAATATTTTAATATTTTAATATTTGAATTTTAATTTTAATTTTTTTTAAATTTTTTAAAGAAACTGCTTTTTTTCTTTTATCATTACGTCTCCACCTACTGTTTTTGTTTTTCCGTTGCAAAACTTTCTTCGCCTTTAGATGTGACAAAACAAAAAAAATTCAATGGGTTATTTTTATATTTTTGA